AGGAACACATTGAACTATTTAATAAAATTGATATATTAAATTTAAACAACTGAGATACATAACATTTAAATAGAAGTATAATGATGCATCAACTATTTGGGGCAGAATGATAGTAGAAACACCACTTATTAAAAAGCAAATTCAAAAAACGATTTCTTCAGATTATTTAGTCAAAAAGAAAATCATTCAACAAACAACAAAACAACACAGCCAGTCATATCTGTATGTTTTTGAAGGAAAACAATTTAATAAGCAATTTGGCATTAGGACTCAGCATTACAACTGGTGAATCTCAGGTAGAGGAAACTGAAATATGGGATCCTTCATGGGAAGGACCATAGTAATGGAGCATAGGAAGGAATGTGTACACAGGGAAGAAATGAGAGTAGCAGGCCAAGTGACTTGGGTTCTCAAAGAGCTATCTAAACCTTAGCATACACTTCCAGAGAATGTGGCTTACAGAGGAGTAGACCATATTTTATGTAGGAGATAATGAGAGAATATACCTCAGAAGTTTGTGTGAAGAGTAAACATTTTAATACAGCAAAGCTCAGTGTCTGGTATATTACAATCAATGTAAAGGGATTTGATGCTAGTTATTTTTCTCTTCTGATAGATTGGCCCTCATCTTCTGGTCCTTTGCTATAGGGCACCAATTACGATTGGTGATGTTGCACGCTGTAGTCTACACGTGGCCTAACTTCATCCTCCTCTATCAGTTTCTTGCCTTGCACATTAATTTGCTATCCAGAGCTTAAGACGGTGATGGGCTCTTAAGCTAATCTTTCTGGGCTAAGCTATGTAAACGTTTTAAAGCCTGTTTTCCAACAGTGAATCATAAAACTTTGTATTTAAATCCATTTCACTGTCTGAACTTGATTATAAAAAAAAAAATTCTAAAGAAAGAATAATTACCTTTATTGAGTGTCTGCTCTGTGCCAGATGCTGTGTTCTCCATATGTTCCCATTTGTTCTCCCCCAATCCTTCCAGGTTGGGTTGAGTAGACCAAGAAATTAAGGAACTTGTCCAAGATTATACAGCTAATAACTGAGAAAAACAGGATGTGAACCCAGGTGTGTCTATTTCAGCATTACTTTGTTCCCCACCCTACGCCCTCCTATAATGGAAGGCAGGACATACACATAAAAGTAAATATAATAAACATTTATCTTCAGTGTCTTATTTACACATAATTACACTAACTGGTAACTGGTTGGTTTCATAAAACCTCAAGGCAATTAGCCAAGCATTTTTATTGCAGAGGACCAATTTAATGAAAACACATAACTAAAGCTGTCAATGTCTAAAGCATTGTTAGTTGGGAGGAGTGTGGAGGATGAGAAAAGATAAAAATGTAAAGTCAGTTCCCACAGTTTTAGAAGCTTGATTCTTGGCTCTTTCTTTTATCTGTAATTATATAATATAGTGAAGAATAAATGACAAGCCACCCTTTTGCCTCCAAGTGATTCCATTTCTATTTATAAAGTCTGAGTGATAGTTGAAGGGTTTAGAAATGTTTTAAGATTAAGCAAACTCTAGAGGATAATACATTAGATTTCAGACTATGGATGAGGTTCTTGGTACCTCAACCTGCTTCAACCAGAGTAGTCCTCTTTTATCTCACATATTCGGCTTTTATATAACCATCCCTTTGAAAAAGAAGGTTTAACTGATTCAAAGTTGCCTTTTTCCATGTGTTTATATTGAGACAAACAGATTCTGTTTGTATCAAGATCTACTTGGGGTTTAAGTATTCAAGATGCATTTCAGTGGCTGCCACCAGAGCCCTAAGCAAAAATTGCAAACTTGGAAATTTGTGTTTTTATATCTCTGCATATTCGCCCAGCAAGTGCCCTGGACTGCTACACTCTTAGGACTTCCCCATTAACTATACAGGTTAGAGGGCCCCAGTCTCATCACAGTCTTTATTACAGTAATGTTCCTGGTAGAGGAATAAAATGTTTTGAGAAAGAGGCCCTCTTTAAGCTCATACTTTCCACCAGCTGTTCAACACCTCACTGCCAACAGACTGTGCCTACGTCCTCTAAAGCGTGTCTTCTAAGTTCTTCCTTCCCAGTTTGATTTCCTTTGCAAAAGAAAATAAATCCATTCAGGTAGGAATGACTGCTGAGTATCAAAGCTCCCAACGGCTTTCGTGTTTTAAAAGAAGTGGTGGCTAATCCAAATTAAACTAATGCATGGAATAAACAGAGGAGAAGTTTTTAAACCAAGAAGCACTGCATTCCTTGTACCCTTGGTCCACTCCGGGCTATCAGCAGCCCAATTGGTAGCCACTTGTAAGGCGAAACACAGGCCATAGATTGGCCCTCTCTTTTTAAAAGACTGTCAAACTCTGGCCTCGGTACAGTTCTAGACTCAGCTAATTGGGGTTTGTGTCTGCCACAAACTAAAAAGGTTAATGGTTCAGTAGAGTAGACTGGGACCATATAACTTTCTTATTCCATTTACTAGTTTGTAAGTTCCTTGGAAGCAAAGCCTCTAACTTTTGCATTCACCTGAGAGTACTGAATTTAGGTCCAGAGTGGACAGAGAATTACTTAAGGTCCCGTGACTTATTAATGGCAGGACCAGGAATAGAACTTACGTTTCCTCATGCCATATGCTAAGTTAATGTTGTTTTCATTCTGCCTCCATTTCTGTTGTCTATTGCTGCATAACAAACCTACTCCAAAATCTAGTACCCCCATCATAGGTCTGTGGATCAGGAATTTGAGCAGGGCTCAGGCTCTTCTTCTGCTCCAGGAAGGGTCTTGACTGGGTCACTTACTAGGCCGGCTTCAGCTGGCTCAGGCTGAAAAGTCCAGAAAAACTTTATTCACATGTCTAGAACTTCTGTGCTTCTCATGTGCCCTCTTCTTCTCTGTATGTTCTCTCCTTTCTTTCAGTATTGTAGCCTGAACTTCTTTACAGCATGGTAGCTAGCTTCTAATGAAAGCAGAAACTGGCAGGCCCCTTAAACTAGCTCAAAATTAGCAGTTTGACTTCGGCTACATGCTCTGGATCAATGCAAGTCATAGACCAGTCCAGATTCAAGGACAGGGGGAATACATACGACCTTGTAATGAATAAAGCAACATGCATAGTCAGGGAGGGAAGAAATTGATGGTGGCCATCTTTGGAGACTAAGCACAACCATTATTAAACAGCAGATGTAGCCTTCTTTCTCTAATTCCTAGTTTCCTGTGACAACCAGGGAAGTTCAAGGCTGTGCAGAAACAAATGAGAAAAAGAAGTAGAAAAAAGCCCTGAAACACCCCATCCTTTTCTACCTTAATGCTCAGCTGCAGAGTTAGGAAGATAACCCCACCTCTCCAAAATTACTTCTAATTATCCTTTGACTAAGCTTCTTCTGGAAGTATTTGTTCTTATTTGAGTATTGGAGGAGAGGCTACTACACTTGTAGGATATATAAAGAACATGGTTAGTGCTGCTACTACTATGTCTATTTTCTTTCTTTTTTTTTTTAATTTTTTTTTTTTTTTTTTGAGATAGAGTTTTGCTCTGTCACCCAGGCTGGAGTGCAGTGGCATGATCTCAGCTCACTTCAACCTCCATCTCCTGGGTTCAATCGATTCTCCTGCTCAGCCTCCTGAGTAGCTAGGATTACAGGTGCTCACCAACACTCCCAGCTAATTTGTTGTATTTTTAGTAGAGACAGGGTTTCACCATGTTGACAAGGCTGGTCTCGAACTCCTGACCTCAAGTGATCTGCCTGCCTCTGCCTCTCAAAGTGCTGGGATTACAAGCATGAGCCACCGCGCACAGCACTACGTCTGTTTTCTGTGTCAAGTGTTTCAATGCCTATTCCTAAGAGCTAGCTCTTGAGACAGCAGTTAAAAACAATAATTTGCAGTGCTACATGTGCCTATTGTTAAAATGGGATATATCTACAAGTAACCTTTTCAACTATTAATTTCCATGTACAAGTCAAATTATACTCCTTCTCAAAGAGAAAGGATACCTTAGTAGATTTTTCTTTCCTTCTTTTTTAATGATACAGAGGATTCTTATGCAAAAGGACAAGTAGATCTAAGACTGGAAAATCAATTTTGTAGCCTATTACAGCTCTGGCAATATCCTTTCTTTGTATTCCAGCTAGCTTTGTTTAGAGTATCCTAAATGATGAGGATTATTCTTTTTCTCTTAAAAAAAAAACTCCCATAACCTTCCAAATTTCCTTGGGAAACTTTTTGCTTATATTATCTTTTCCTTAACAAAAAAAAAAGACTTCAGCCTTTTGTTACAGTTAGATTGTTTTTAGGTAATTTAACTTAGATAATTATTCAACCTAGAGTACTTTTTCCTAGAAACAAACAAATAAATGAAATATTCTAGTGTCATATCAAGAGAGAGGAGCAACAATTTATGGGCTGCTGAGGCAAAACTTTTCCAAGCGCTTTAGGAAATCTCACATGTTAAGAAATTATCAGATTATCATTGTCTAGAAAATGATGAGATATGTCTTTTTCTTTCTTTTTTTTTTTTTTTTAACAGAGTCCAGGTTCCAGGCTTACAGATTTGTCTTATAAAAAGGGAAATCTTTGGTTTTGCAAATGTGTGAAAAAGATGCAATGTTTTTGTACCAACTGCTTAGGAAGTATAGTTCACTGAAATCCAAATTGCCGTCTTAATTTGTGTTGCCCAATGCTTATTGAAGATATATTGTGTGCTTTTTAAATACAAGGTTGTATATGCAAATCTATGCAATACAAGATTGTTTATGCAATCTAACTATAACTTTACACATGGCCTAAAGCTCGAATTCAATTAGGAAAAGTCCAGACCTTTAAAATTTTCCATTTTACCCTTTTTTTATTTTGTTGGCGGTGGCAGTTGTGATTTTGTTTTTAGTTGCTGTTTTGATTTGTCTAGGTTTAAAAAGGTATCATGCTGCTTTAAACTAGTCTAGATCATTTAGAAAACTATGGGGATTTTATTGGACAATCTCTAAAAAATTTCCGTATGTTTATCCCTTTAGGAAGAAGAATTAGAAGCCCAAATTTCCTTCCTTCAAGGACAGTTGAATGACCTGGATGCCATGTGCAAATACTGTGCAAAGGTGATGGACACTCATCTTGGTAAGTGAATTACTTTGGCCCTGGGAATGATAAGAGTCATGACAATAATAGCCACTAGCATTACTTTGTTCTAGGCCCTGTGCTAAGCTGTTTACATGAATTACCTTATTTAATCCTTACAACAGCCATATAATAGAAGTACAATTACTCTCTACATTATATAGATGAGGAAACCAAGGCATAGAGGGATTAAGAAAATGCCCAAAGATTATATCATTAGTAAATTGAGTAGAAATTCAAAATCAAGCAAGCTGGATGCAGTGGCTCACAGCTGTAATCCCAGCACTGTGGAAAGCCAAGGTGGGAAGATTTGAGACCAGGAATTTGAGACCAGCCTGAGCAACACAGTGAGACCGTGTCTCTACCAAAACAAAAACAAAACAAAAAAAAAATTTTTTTTTTTTAATTAGCTGGGCACGGTGGCATGTGCCTATAGTTCCAGCTACTCGAGAGGCTGAGATGGGAAGACTTTGCTTAAACCCAGGGGTTTGAGGTTACAGCAAGTTGTGACTGGGCCTCTATACTCCAGCCTGGGTGACAGAGTGAGACTCTTTGTCTGAACAAAAATAATAAAATTTAAAAATTCTTTAAAAGCAATCTGACTACAAATCTCAACTCCTGTGCCCTTTGTAAATGTCTGTTTACCTCAAACCAAAATGAAATACTGAGTTTTCAAGATCAAATAATCAGCTATACTGCTGTGCCAACGTGTCAGTAATCACTAATGTGATTATTATTTTGACAATTCTTTTTTTATAAAAATGTGTTTTTTAACCACCTGCCTGAAATACATGACCTTTTCTTACTTCCGACTGTGCTTATATTCTAAGAAATGTCCCAGTTTGAAGTTCATTTTGCATGTGGGTCCTGCATGTCCCACTGGAAAGTCTTCAGGCACTGCTCTGCATTTGTAAAGGTTCTGTATCTCGTATTAGAGATACCTTATGCTGACTCATGTATGAATCACTTCAGTAACTCCATGCTGCTTACAAAAGCTTCTGTCATGCACCATTTTACTATTTTTTTTAGACCATTTATGGGCAGCCTTTGTTTCTTCACTGTCCAGTAAGATTGGTAATTTATGAATAAATTAGGAAACTAAGACATGTACTCATGGAAATGGCCAATGTGCTGCTCTGTAGTGTCAAGAAATGGCAATACCAGGTATTGTAAGAAATCAGGATGCATCCCACCTGTGAGGAGAAACCAAAGAGAATCCACCAAAGCCTCTGGGGCCTTCGTTGAAGGTAAACTCTCTGCCTTCAAACCCCCCAGCAAGCTCTAAGCCATTACAAGTAACAATGGCTGTCATTTGGGTATAGCCTAAACCATACTGGCCTCAATAAAATAATAAATGTTCTCTTAAAAGATTTGGAGAGATGCTGATCTAAGTGGCTGGCTGCCTGACAGTGTCTTATTAGCAGCTGGCTGTGTCCTGTTCTACCCTCAGCCGTGTTCCTAGCATCTCAACCACTCCTGCAGGGAAAGGGCTCAAGAGAGAAAAACAGCAGGAGAAACCCCGGTAGATGATTGATAGGGTAGTATCTGTCATCACAGCAAGAAACATTACCCCTGTCACATTTGATCCACTCTGTTTATTTATTAATAAATAAAGCTGCTTGACCATCATTTTTAAAAATTCATATAGACCTATAACAAAGTCGCCAGTTCAGTCACTTACCACTTGCAGAGTCCAGATAACAAGAGTGAGTTCTGGTATAAGGAGATTTTTTATTCCATAGCTTAGCTTAGGGGAAGAAGTACAGACCCCTTCCCTTAAAGGTACCACCTCACTTTGGGGACAGAAAACAGAGGCTTTTAAAGGGGGACTTGGCATGAACAGCAAATGAGGGAAGGAGTGAGCAGGTAAAGGTCTATGTCAGTGGCTTCAGTGCCTTATCTTCCAGGTGGTTAAGCTGGTGCCAGCATAGGCAGAGTTAGGTTGTAAAGTGACTGTTATCTGAGATACTCTCCAGTGGGGGGAGAGTTTCATCTCGGGCGTACTTGAGGTTGTAAATTGACTGTTGTCTCAAAGAAATCTCTGGGTGGGAGAGATTTCCAGTCCAGGAGCTTCTAAGCAAGCACATAGTTAGGTAAGCTTGCCCTGTAGAGAGTGTCTGGTAAAGGGCAAGTAAAGGTTGCGTTTAAAGAGCTAAGTAGGAAATGGGGAACAAAGCAAAGGGTGGAAAGAGAAAAGAAGAAAATAGTAATTTAAAAAAAAAAAACAACTCATTATCTTTCTCTTAGGAAAATGGGGGTAATAAGTTACAGACCTAATTTTACATGAATCTTATCTAATATCATTGCACTATAAAATACATCAGAAAGAACTAATAAACAGATAGTTTATATAGTTGTATATGACTAATTATGGTTACTTATTTACATATAATTTTAATTTTAACATGAATATATAGTTTTTGCTTTTCTGTCTACTTGGATGACCTTTGCGTTACTTGACTTTAGTTTTCACCAAAGTAAGAGAGCAAAGAAGTGATGGGGAGAAAGATTTACTGGAACTCTACAAAATCCTGTTAGGAAATTTCGAAGTTGTTTGGTACACATAGCAGCTTTTAAAGCAGCTTAACTTAAGCCTCGGAATTTTCAAACAGCTTTTGCTCTGACTTTGGTCTTTCAATCAGCACTAGAAGAGCATTTTCTCATTGCATGGGAGGGGGAAACACTTTAATTAAAATGGAAAGAAAAGCCTATACCAGCTGTGAATTTTCAACTAACCACAAAACTAGATTTGTTTTTGTGTGTATGTTTCACTTTTAGCCAGAACTCGTTCACATAGCTGTTTATTTTTTTTCCCTCATATAAATAGCATGACGGCATTTTTAAAGTGGGATTCAGGGATGCTACCAAGAATTCCTGGCCCCAAGGCCCACAGATGCATTTCAGTTCAAATGTATAATATAACAATGGTTAATTAAAAGATGCTCCTAGATTGTAGGCAACTTTGATTCTAAGCAAAGATTTAAGGAAAACATGAAGATGAAGTTGACTTGATGCTCTTGATTTGTTCTTTAACATATTGTGGCTTCTTAAAAATTATTTTAATACCCTTATTTTTTCCATAGATGTATTTCTCTTTCTGATTATTAAAGGAGAACAAAATTAGAAGGACTAAAATATTCATTAGTAAGGAATTGAATATAATATAGTATAATATAATTCAATCTTTATAAAGATTAAATTATTTATTAACATAAGTAGATGTTAGCGATAGATTATTAGGTGATAAACACAGATGGCAAAATGGTATATATTTGGTATGAAAATACTGTTACAGTGGTTGCCTAGGTAAGATGAAGATTATAGAGGGACTTTCCAAGGGACCTAATCTTCTATGCTTAGAAAATAGAAGACATGCCCTGAAAATCTGTGGATGGCTTCAGTGCATGTAACTAGCACTCAGGGGTCAACCTGTATACACAGCAGGCAGAGCCAGTTGTAAAGGTGGTGAAGTGATATCTGAGAAACAGACAACCTCATGTGGCATCAAACAGATCTAGGGTTGAACCCAGGCCCTATCCCTTAGCTCAGCCTGCTTATGAATGTGTCCTCATATGTCAACACATGTACTTGACATTTCCATCTATCTTGCCAGTTCCTTGCCAAAAAATATTTTTAAACCCTAGTATTGGGAATGGCCCAAAGTGGGTATTAACCACAAGTCGTCTCCTCTTTCCCTTTAACTCTTTAACTGTCTCTTCTCAGGGAAGAATCTGAGAGACTCTTTCAGCCCATGGCCATAGAGCTGAATAATAACTTGTCCAAGGCCTACAACTGGTTAGCTGAAGAGCTGGACTAGTACCATATTTCCCAATACCCAACTGAATATTCCTCTATCAAATGATGCAAAATGATGCTGGAACGTGAAATGTGCTAGTTCTAAGATGAGGTGCATGAGCTCCTTGAGCAAGAATAGCTATGTCAGGACTTAATGATGCCTCTGGGGCACTTACTGACATAAGGGCTGCTGAGCCTCCATTATGCACTGGGGTACAGGCTACCGAGGTGGCTGTGAGAGCTGTCTCAGAAACTTACACTAGAAGTTACTTCTCCGGATCCTTTCCTAATGTTAATTATTTTCACAAAGTTCCATTCATATCAAGAGAACTCCATAACACCTTATATTTTCTTTTTCTTTTTTTTTTTGGTATAAATGTAAGGGGTACAAATGTGGTTTTGATACATGGATATATTGCACAGTGGTGAAGTCTGGGATTTTAGTGGGACCGTTACCCAAATAGTGTACATTGTACCCATTAAGTGATTTCTCATCCCTCACCACCCTCCCACCTTTCCGAGTTTCCAGTGTCTATTATTCCACACTCTATGTCCATATATACACATTATTTAGCTCCCACTTGTAAGTGAAACCATGCAGAATTTGTCTATTTCTGAGTGGTTTCACTTAGCATAATGGCCTCCAGTTCCATCCGTGTTGCTGCAGAAGACATGATTTTATTCTTTTTTATGGCTGAATAGTACTCCATCTTATATATGTAGCACATTTTCTTTATCCAGTCATCCGTCCATTGCTGAACACTTAGGTTGCTTCTCTATCTTTGCTATGAACTGTGTCACCCTATGTTTTTGTCACACATGCAATAAGTCTCTTAAAATGTCAAGTACTCTTCAAGGCTGTTTTTATAACTGATAGCAGAACAAATACAGAGAAAATCTTTTCAGTTAAAAATTATTTAATGACATTTGTTCAAATGGCCCTTTAATTATAGAGATAATAAAATTGACAGGTTAACAGTATTTCCTCACAGTTTTGGAACCCAAAACTAGAAGGCCATTTGTGTTGCCAAAACTACCAAAATTCTAATTTTATTACCTCCAAGTGATGGAATTATTTGAATTCAAAGGTTTAGAGACAGGAATTGAAAATATGTTTTATTAAACGTAAACTTTTCCTGTCGGCTTTAGAAGAGGTTTTTTACATGTTGATTTTTCTGTTGCTATGGTTACTCCCCTTCTTGTCA